AGATGGGAACAGTATTCCATGTGCGGCCGAACCTGCGCCTTGTAAAGTTGCAGGCGGTGTGCCGGCATGAAATACTGTCCCGCTCTGCTGAGCACGCCAAGCTTTTTAGAGGCCAATTTGGCATTCTCTTCCAAGTGACCATGAAACTGCACGTCACTCGATATGTGGACGCCGAGGATTCCGATACTGGCTGAGGCAACAAGGGAAGTGCCTTGAAACTGAGGGGAAACGACAAAGGGGTACTCTCAGGTATCCCGGACACGATGCTGCCAAACTCGGTCTTCAGCTTCGACAGTTGGTTCTTACCGACAGACAGATCTCTGGTAAAGACTTTGGAGCCCTGGTTCCGCTCAATCACTTCTACAATACGAGCTGTATTGAAGTTGCGAAGTCCCGCCACATATATTTGGAGATCTATCTGTTTAGTTGCATTTATGCTGTCAAATCAGCTTCATTTCCGGCCCAACAGCCATGAGATTAAGAGTGTGATCGGAGTTTTTGTGTTCTTCTGCGGCGGGTTTTGCAGAACTTAGTTCCGAATGTACAGTTACCACGAGCTTGTCATACATATCGTCCACTGTATTGCAGTCTTCTAGGCAATGAAAACGGTTTTATAATTCGAGCTGAAAGTTTTCGGGACCCTGGATTAATACACGAGGAGGACGGAACGTTGACTTCATTAGACGAGACCCTTCCAACTTAGCGTTTAGGTTCAGTGTGCCTCTAGGCATTTGGTGATCTCTGCCAGTTTGCACCCTCACTATCACTGAGACATCACTGAACAGTTGGTGTCTGGTCGTCATAATGAAGTCAATCCCCCTTGGATTTCGTTGCCCTATTCCAAATTTCCCTACCTTAAGCTCACCGTTCTATAAGTACTATATTCGTTGAAGTCTCCCATCAACATCGTATAGCGGATTTTGAAGGAATGCATGGCTCTAGAGATATCCTCATACATATCCTCCACCTCCTCATCGGGATATGCCGAGGTTGGTACGTAAACCTGTGTATGACCTTCAGCGAATACCGGTATCGAATACCGATGCTGAGTATCAGGTACGCAACCCTCGTCGACGTCATTGAAGAGAGATTTGTGGACGATAAATTCCTTGGGACAGACGGTCGCCTTCCCAGTGATAGAACAAGTTGCAAGGTTTACCTTGTCCTCCCCTCTCTTCGGACTTCAAATAATCCTATAATATGCCAGCGCAACTTGTCTACTTCTTCTTCCAGCTCCAGGATCTTCTCGTCAGTCTCAGGGAGCGTGCGTTATATGTTGCCAGGTCGAGTCGTCGTAGGTGGCAACCGAACCTCCACCAGAGATTTTTAGAATCCCCTGCCCCGCCGTTACCATGGGCGCCACCGTAGCCAGGAATAGCGGGGCCGTCAGGGAATGGGGGCTGTTCGTTTGGGTCGTTGCTCATGGGGGGATGATCGCCATAGTTGCCACGCTTAGCGAACGGGTTGGTAATCGCAGTTTTTTAATGTATAATTCTCATCTCCCACCTGCTGCGCTCTGTCGCCTCTTACGACACCCACGGGAAGATATGGGATAGTGGATATTCTCAACCGCCACTACACGGCAAAGTTGCTGCTTAGATTTACGTTATCAGTTTAGTAACGCGCTATTTAATAAACGAAACTCGACTCTTAAGTACATAATAGGTGCATGTATTTGAGATGCTTAAATCTAATTCCAGACGGTCCGTGACTTGAGATTGTGATTGTAGTAGCGCGAATCATGAAGTTTGAAAATATTTTGAGTGAAATTAATTGTTACGATGAAATAGAGTATAGATCATTTTGAGACGCCCCATCAGACTCCTTTTTTACCACAGGCCAATATTTTTCATAATTTCGATAAAGCATTTTTTATTACTATTCCAAGCCCGAGCTTAACTACAATTCCACCATCAACATCAATAGTAAGGGGAGATGTAGCCAAAAATGGTGAAGCGCACTGACTTAACAAAAGCCTATTCACTCTTGCCTTGAAGACACCTACGTTGTAATCGGATGGAAAGACAGATTCTGGTAACTTCTTCCACTCCTTTACTGTACGCAAGACGAACGATGTAGTAAAGCGTTTGGCTCGAATGCGCAGTAAGTCAACAACGAAAGGGTGGAGACTGGCCAAATGTCCAGTTGTCGATGATGGAAGAGAAAGGCAGGAATTAAGTTAAGCAATTCCTGCGCACAATCTCCGAAGTGCATCCTGTGGAAAGCCGAAAGGCTGGCTACTTTGCGCCTGTACTCAAGGCTAGCAATGATGGTTTTAACCAGATTCGGATCACCAATAAACCTCTTAGCACACCTTTCTATTGAGCTCTAAGCTGCTAGGTGGTATTTTGGAGCACCAACCCCTATATGGCGGCAATACTCCATGCACAACCAGACTTGCGCTTTACATAGAATAAGCAGCTGTCCCGGAGTGAAATAACGCAACGCCTTTGTACTCACAGCTTCCTTGCAGCTGCTTTGGCCTTGAACTCAATGAACCGCCATTTTTCTCAATCTTTGTGTAAATCATACCATAACACGATGTGATGTTATAGGTAAACAAGCAATGAGTTTGAAATAACTATGCTTTAAACAAGCAGTTGGTGTTTGGTGTTGTCTCTTTTTTGACACTTACGCTGTCACTTTAATGCATTTTTTACGCGAGCATCTATGCAGGTCTAGAGTGAGAGACCAGTATCACTGCGACCTAAAAGATCTATTGCAATCGCTGCTATCGCTATATTTCACTGCTATGCCTTACGTCTTCAATGAATAGAAGGATTTGCTTAGCTTTGAGCAATTTTATTTCTTCTGGGCGGAGTACATAGTTTCCCAGATGAGTGTTACGTTTGCGCATTGACGGTCTACAATCAGTTAGAATGTGCAGAAGCGTTTCTTCCGTTAGGGAACAAAACCGGAACATCCTTGAGTTGCTTATACCCAGAATGGACATGTGCTTTTTAAAATAAAAGTGTCCAGTCAGGGCTCTTGTCAAAATACGCAATTTTTTTAACCTAATCCCAGGGCTTCTGAAGCGAATTTACGATCAAACGCCTGGATGACAGTTTTAGAACGTTTAAGCCTGGTGTATCAGACCTGATCTTAAGTGATTTATTGTGATAAAGAGTTTAAAGGGTCAGTCGGGCTAGGCTTTTTGAGATCCCACCAAATGGCTCGGGTACAAATTGTGTACTCTTTGAGCTCTCCCATGCGAGCTTGTAGGCAAGTTCATTGTCTACAATTTCCGCGTGACCCGGAACCCATCTTCTTAGCACGACCCTGTTGTTACATACCAGTGCTTTTAGATGGTTCACGCAGTCTCCAAAGCTTCGAGTTCACTAGGTTTGATCTCAGTGCTCGCAGTGCTGCTTGACTATCAGAATTTATATAGATCATATGGTTGGCGTAGTATTTTTGCAGATATATTTCCGTATACTTTAGTATGGCAAAAATTTCTGCCTGATAGAGATGAATCTACACAAATTCATACTAAGTTTGAATTTGGGAAAGCCTATGTCAAGAAGGCCCATTCCTGATCCATCGGTATAACATATAAGGCTACCGACCCCACAGATAACCTGCCCATTCAGATCTTCTCTAGAGGATAGTTTTACTATTTACTTTTTGTTAAAATGTATAGTCGACGCATGATATCTGAGATCATGCATAAAACCGGTGTTTCCTTAATTAAGTCGAGCATGGATCTCAATCTTAAGGAAAGCCAGTACACACTGTCCTGGGCGTTAATCCTATACAAACTATCCTTTGTTTCCCTGTCTAAATAAAGATCAAGGGGCGTTAGGCATTGAAATGCATTAAGAGCCGCTCCAGGCAATGACCGCATCGCTCAAGTTGCCATTAAGCAGGCAGTCCTTTGTAGACTATTTAGTCTGTCCGCTTTTGGTTGGCCTTATTACACCAGACAATGGAGGCGTAGGTAATAATCGGCCTCACTATGCTGCTGTACTGCCATAGGATATTATTGGGACGCAAGCCCCAGTTGTTCCCAACCATACGACTGCACGTAACTAAAGCAATTTTAACCTTATGACATACGTTATTAAGGTGAAAATTCCACGTCAGTTTTTGGTCGATGTTTACGACCAAATACTTAACTTCAGTGCAGATTGGTATTTCCTTAGTATTAAGTTTTGGTGTGACTAATTTTTTTAGTCTCTTTTTGGTCAAGGGTATTATAATTGTTTTATTAGCATTAACTGATAAACTGTTATCCCTACACAAGTTATTTATGTTGTTTAGGGCTCTTTGTACGATTAATATTAAAGTACTTTGGCAAAAATCATCAGCATAACCCAGTGTGTCAATGCGAAGGTGTGCCATCTTGTACAATAATTTGTCAACCGCAAGTCTAAAGAATTGGTGACAGAACACCTCCTTGTGGGCAACCACTTGTAGTTGCAACTTCTAACGTAGTTTGAAACAGCGCTAGTTTTGCCCTTCTGTTGGAGAGCATCAACTTCTCCCACCTGATGGTTGTGGGATCAACATTTTTAGATGTCAGTCCCCCAACCAGCAGTGATGTTGGGCTACTGTCGAAGGCGCCTTCAATATCTAGAAAGGCACAAAGAGCTATTTGCTTATTCTCCAGCGCTTTTCGACCCTGTCAATAACACTGATCAAGGTTGTTTTCGTAGATTTGCCTCTGCGGTAGCTAGAGTAGCTACGAGGCCCATACATTACAACCAGCAATCTTTAGTCCCTAATATATCTCTCTATAACCTTTTACAATGTCTAGAAAAGAAAAGAAGTTAAACTTATAGGTCTAAAGGACATTGGTATAGCAAAGTCATTTCTACCAGTCTTAAATATAAATAGAACTTTGACGATTGTCCATTGGTCTGAATTTAAAAAAGAAATAATTAATTTTAGCTGTTCTACGGCTCCAACATAAAAAATTCAAAAAGAGGATAAGGGCAACAGAAACCGTGTATTGATTAAATGTAGCCTATTCATATCTCACAGTATAAAAATGTACTCACCAATAAGGCAGCTAGGTTTAATTTTTGCAACACACGCCTCAAAGTCCTTTTCTGGCTCTATGTCCTTCCCGAACGCCTTGGCGTGTTCCGGTACTCCGCCCTCACGACGTGTGGAGAGCAGTCCGTCCACATCGAACATATAGACACGTTCACGAGCTTGTCTTTCAGTCAGACCCTCGGACATCATGGCTGCTACAATCAAATTCGCAATGCCATTGGAGGCCTGAAAAAAGATTTTGCCTTAAAATAGTAATCTAAAAATAACTTATTTTCTAATCACAGGTCTTCACATAATAATATAAATAAGTATCTAAAATAACATGATATATTACCACTATGACATGATTTTCTTAAAAACAGATGCTTATAACAGCGGTGAATATTGTGGACCATATACTTAACTCCACTTTCACATTCATTTACAATGAAAACACTAATCTATCATGTGTTATTTGTGTTATAATGAGTATGACAAGTACAATTTTGACAAAACTTCAGTTACTTCTTCTTTAAAGTCCACGGCTAAACATCGGTCTGTTTAAGAATTATAAAGAAGCATAGAGGCAGAGATCTAATATCTCTTTCTCTCTATCTACTTTACATATTGTCTGAAAAGGTCTGAAAAGGGAAAAACACATGTAATACAATTGTTAAATCAACACATAAGTATGCGTTCGACTTACAAGTATTACTAAGGGGATTTGCCCACACTCAAAACACTGTGTAGAAATCCATATTACCCACGGTTGGTAGGTCGGCAAAAATCGTAAAGGATAATTTACTTTAAATCGAAATAAGGTGATTACGTGCTCGTTTTGTGCACGCAGCCATTTGCTTTGCTTTTTAATGAAGTAGCCTATATGGTAAATCGCACTGTCTTAGCGTAACAAAAGCCTATTAGTCCAGTCACTTACGAAAAAAAAAGGTGTCATTCTCGGAATTTGAGATAAAAAGCTGGAAACTCGTGTACAGCTTCATTTTGGCATTCTAAAAGTTGTCTCAAAGTCTCTTTTTACAATTATCTCCGTTTCTACGCCATCACAACACCTATTATGAAAAAAAAAAATTCCACAACCGTCTCTACTTTTTTTTCTATACGCTCAACTCTTTTCGAGATAGAGGGCGGAGAGCACCCAGCGCTCAGGCATACATACTACTGTCATACAAGGTCAAACGTGAATTTCGATGAGACTTTTGTGACAACTTTTAGAAGCTGTACACGAGTTTCTAGCTTATTATCTCAAACTTCGAGGTAAAACCCTAAAGTGACTGGACTATATTCTCTCTTGCCTTAAATATGGACAGATTGTAATTGGACTAAACAACAGACGCCGGCAGATTATTCCACTCAATTGCTATCTGATAAACTATGCTAATATACAAAATTAGTCCTGCGTGTATAGATATGTATGTACGTAATAAAAAAAATACTCACAGAACCAGCACCAAGGAACATATATATATTCTCGCCAAGTTTCCTCTTCGTGACTCTTACTGCGGCCATCATACCGGCGACGGCCACACTAGCGGTGCCCTGGATGTCGTCATTGAATGTGCAGTACTTGTTGCGGTACTTTTGGAGCAACCGACCTGCGTTGAGTAACGCAAAGTCCTCGAACTGTTTAATGAAAAGATGAAATTTAATTAAACAATTTGAGAATCATTACTTTATAAGTTTATGTTATTTTCAAACTACAAAGGTTTATTTTCAAACAAAGAAGATCGTTGTTACCTCTACGAACTAAGATAGAATGCGTTACAGCCTGTCTTTACACCGTTACTAGGTAAGCGACAGAAATAGGATCCGACCTCTTAGTTCATACATAAACTTCAAAAATTGTTAATATACAGTAGCTGAAAGAAACGCTGTTCTTAAAAAAATATGTGTGTGTTATGATGTGTATATACATTAAATGTTAATAACTAAAACCAAACTGTGATAAGAAACGTGTACGTACTAAAAAGATAATAAACAAGACTAAGATGTCAATTTTTCGAATCCTTCAAAGAGAACCAATTTATCGTAAAAATGTAAGCTCTTCTTAAAGATAAAAAACAGTTTATGGTTGGATGTGTTGGAGTGTTTTTTTTTTCTTAATCAACCTTTATAATATTATTGTTACAGCCTATTAAAGTCCACTGTTGAACATATACCTACTACATAGATTGCCTCATACGGGGATATTTGCCGTAGTTGCCAAGCAATTGGCAAGTGGGTTGGCAACCGCAGATTATTTTATGTTTAGGCGTTATTAGGAAGACGCTGCTGTTTATTTCCTGATTTGTTTCCATCTGTCGGCTCTTACACCACCCACGGAATGATATGGGGTAGTGGATAATCATAGAATACTATATATAGTGTTGCCCAAATGCAAGAACAAGACGAGACTTAGCCAGTCTTGGTCTTGGTCTTGCGCCAATACTGCTGGTCTTGTTCTTGGTCTTGGTATTGCGCTCTCAGTCTTGTTCTTGGTCTTGGTCTTGCAGCAAGAGTCTCGCAAGTCTCGCAATTACCTATTAACCTATTGTTATTTATTAAAGGTTACTTTAGATCTTAGAACAACTTAACAGAGTAGGCACATTTTGAGCTTGAATTAACATAGCCGTAGAAAGACCATTCATCCATGTCATTGTTAAACCCGGAGTAAAAAAGCAAAAAAAAGCTGAAGGTACTCCGGGTTTAACAATGACATCGGGACGTCAGTCATCTCAGTCCCCCGTGACCATGGGTGCTGGAAAGCGCCCGAAACGTCGGGAATTAAAAATAATAGTAAAATAAACGCGATAAAATCCGTAAAAATAGTTTTAATCAATGGAATAAAAGAGTTATACAATTTACCATTTATTTAAATAAAAAAATAAAATACAATACAAATTAAATTACATAACAGTACACAACAGCTTTGACATTACTGTTACTTTATATTAATTCTTTTGACCAATAATTAATACAAAGTAACCATCTGGCTGACTCATCACTTAACCTATTCCTATGTTTTCTAATTACTAATGATGTTTTAGAAAATAACCTCTCAGCTGGTACTGAAGTTGCAGGTATTGAAAGAAAATCACGGGCCATATTCGATAACTCTAACATGTCTCTCTCTAACACTCTAAAATGTCTTCCGAACTGGCGGCTCTGGTTTTACTTAGGTACTCCTCCAACTCGTCTATAACTAAGCCTTGATGAAAAGATCCAGATCCAGATGACGTCGAGGGACATGCATACAATTTCTCAAAGTCTATTACGTCTTCATCTTCATCATATTCACATACTTTCTTTTAATTTCTTGGTGATTCTAGAGATGTATTCACTGAGTGTAGACTTTTATATTCTTTATAAAGTTCATTAAATTTGCGCAGGCTTTCTGTTTTAATTTGCTTCCCCCATAATGTCATGTCAAAAGTCTGAGTCTTATGCCTTCGGTCTAAAATTAAAGAGGTACAATAAATCCAGTTGCTCTTTTCATAATGTTTAAGCATTTTGTCTCGAGCTGCTTGAAAACCCAGAATGAGCCTTTCATCCACTTCGGATCGATTAGGTTTTTCATCTAATTGTTTTACCATGGATTCAATTTTATCGAGCAAGAGATTGAATGATACAATGACTAGCGGTAATGTAACATATTTTTCTCCACCAAGTTTCGTTGATAGAAGTTTAAAGTTTATTAGAAACTTATGTATTTTTTCGAGTATTTGCCATTCACTATCTGTGATTTAAAAATCATTCAATTCGGTGACAGAAGTGCACAATATGTTAATGCCAGTTCTCACTTTTAAACCAAATCAATCATGTCATGTGTGGAATTCCATCTCGTTGGACAGCCGAGTATGGGGTTCAGATTTGATGGCACGCCAGCTGCTTCACAAGCAGACTGAAACTTCCTCTTCAATATCTCACTTCTTTTTATTTTACTGGAAATACTGCGTAATTTTGTTATATTATGTACTGTATGTGAGTCAGCAATATTTGGCGCATATTCTTCATCTTCCTCAGTTTCGTCTTCATTATCTTCATATTGATGTTCTTGTCCCTTATTGTCAGTTTCACTGTGTAATGCTAAGGTCTTTAATAAATCTTGTACACCAAGGTTCAAAATGTGAGCAAAGCACAGTTGATTGTCTGAATCAAAGTGTGGCAGCTGTTTGTCCAATTCATACATAAATTTGGTATTTGCAGTTGCGATGTCGACCGTGATACCCTGTATTTTATCAATTATGTCATATTCCAATAAACATTCGTGGAAAATCGTTGCAATATCTTCCCCAGTATGTCGACCGCGTGATGGTATAAAATCAAGGACTACAGATCGATACTTCCATTCGTTGTCTATATAATGAATAGTGACCCCGTAGTAACTCCTACCAGAAATTGACGTCCATCCATCAATGGTAAATGACATTTTAGATGAAAATTGTTGTAGTCGTTTCTTAAGATTCAATTGAAGCTCTTCAAACCGTTCTTTGACCTTCCTTCTAAGTGAGGACCTTTTAGGAAACACCATATTTGGGAAAATTGATCTAAAATATACTTGCGTAGCTTCGTCATCGAAAAATGAGAAGGGAAGATATTTTTAACCATCCAATCAACTGTAGCTGTCGTGATGTTGTCACTGCTATTTTCAAACTGAAATAAAACAGTAAATCATGTGTCTCGCCGATTATAAAAACAACTGAAAATATGAGTGAATTATAAATACGTATTTAACACTATAATCTATATATATATATATATATATATATATATATATATATATATATATATATATATATATATATATATATATATATATATATATATATATATATATATATATATATAAACTACCAGACACTGACTGACTATAACGATATCTCAGGAACTATAAAACATACAAACTTGAAGTTTGTAAGGTAGGTTCCTTTTATAGCATAGAGATCAGTTAAGAAACAGTTTTGAGAAAATCTATCCCTAAGGGAGTGAAATGAGAGTTGGAAGTTTGTATGAAAGTCCTACGTTTTTGAAGTTAGAGACACGAAAATCGGCATTAAAGTTATAAGTTTTCAGTAATAAAATCCTGAATAAGCTGTTTTACGAAATCCTAACCTGCAAGTCCTATATTTTTAAAGTATAGATATAAAGATCGACATTTACTTTATTAGTTTTAAATAATAAATACTTGCATAGTTAAGCTTTACCTATATAGCCTCTTTATACTTAGGTAAGACTTTTGCAGCGAGAAAATTTCAAAATCTCATAGGAAATCAGATATTGTACGCGGACGAAGTCGCAGGCGGCCGCTAGTTACATAATATATGTGTTATGTAATTGTGTGATAAGTATATGTTTTCTTACCTGTCCACTTTTTCCTGTGGTTTTTAAAAAGCTTGTGATATCTCCACTTAATTTTGGTTTTTCAGGAAGAAATATTTGTGATTCCTTTTTGTGGAAAGATATTAGATGCTTCCTTAAGCCTGAAGTGTTTCTGTTTTTCATTTTTATTTCAACCTTTTTTATGTTGGCATAATTTACACAAAGCAATTTGGGATGCGTGAATTATGTCGAAAAACTCATCAATTTACTTTTAGGTCTTTTAGATCTATAACTCCAACTCTCACTACTCCAACTAGAACTATTCGACTCTTCGTCACTCATGTCAAATTGTAAACTTACGAGGGTGGATTGAAAAGTACTCGGCCTAACCAAGAAAATAAACACATACTAAATCAGTTACATTTTTATTTTTCTACATAATCACCATCAAGTTCAATACACTTTTGCCACCTCCCCTTCCAAGCATTTAGACCGTTGAAAAAAAATGATTCTTCCTTAGAGTCAAAATATGCGTCTACAGCTGCTTTGACCTCGTCATTTGTCGAAAGTCTTTGACCTCCCAAGTGCTTTTTTAGGTTAGGGAACAGAAAGAAGTTTGATGGTGCCAGATCAGGTGAATACGGCGGATGCGGTAACAGTTCAAAGCCACAGTTGTGAATTTCAGCCATTGACTGTACTGACGTGTGAACACGGGCGTTATCTTGATGAAACAGGACTTTTCTTCTGAGCATTCCTCGACGTTTTTCTTTAATTTCTTCTCGTAAACGACGTAGTAAGGTGCAGTAGTAATCAGAGTTTATAGTCCGACCCCTTTCAAGATAATCAATCATAATCACACATTTCGAGTCCCAGAATACTGAAGCCATCACCTTATTTGCCGACAAAATCGACTTAGCCTTTTTAGGGGGTGGTGAACCAGGTCTTCTCCACTGTTTTGATTGTTGTTTTGTTTCCGGTGTACAGTAATGAACTCATGTTTCGTCCATAGTAACAAAACGATTCAAAAAATCATCTGCATCGGCTTCAAATAACTCCAAACAGTCGCGTGAAATAGTCAATCGCGTCCTTTTTTGTTCAACTGAAAGCAGTCGCGGAACCCACCTCGCAGACACCTTGTGGAAACCCAACTCGTTGACAATGATGTTTTGAGTTCGTTCATAAGAGATGCCTATAATCTCGGCTATCTCTCTAATTTTTAATCTGCGGTCTCCCATTATTAAATCAAGTACTTTTTTAATATTTTCGTCAGTAGTTGACGTCGAAGGCCTTCCAGAGCGGGGTTCATCTTTCACACTCTCTCTACC